GCTGTGCCCTTTGTATGAAGTTGCTTGGAGGCAGCAGGGGAGAAGAGGGCCTTGGTGGCCCGCAGACCAGTAAGACCACTAACAGGGTTCCTGAGGACCCACATAAGAGTGAGGGGCCACAGACAACTGAAAAAAGGAGCCATTCAGAAGCCAGTGAGTCATTGCAAGGACTGGCACATGGCCTGTCCCATGGGAAGTGTTTGGAGTGAGGGGGTTGGAGGAGAAGAGCCACTGGGGGAACACTGGGACACAGCATGGACAGCTGATCTGTCCTCCAATCAGCACAGAACCACTCAGTGGAGACTGGTCAAGAATATAGTACAGCAGGGGGTGTGGTTTGCTGAAAAGACTCAGGCCCAGACCAGAGTTTGCACAGAACCCAGGTGTTTAGATCTCACAAGACTCAGAAGTGCTTACAAAGTCAACAATTAAAACCTTCGCTGCACAAAAAGCCTTCCCCAGGGAATCAGCAGCAAAGCGGCAATTTAGCTCAACCACAGGGCTCAATTGTTGGTCCCCACAGGAAGTTCCCCCATTTTAGAAGTAACCAAAAGAAAACAAGTTAGTTCCAGTGCAGAGTTTAAGTGGTGGAAACACCGAATAATCCAACACAGAACTGAAAGAAAAAACAAAAAACCCACAGATCAGAGACAAAGTTCTGATATTACCGGTAAAGGTCTAACACCACCAAAGAACACATATAAAACCTAGAAGCGCCAGAAGCCCCTGGGGCTCCCAAGCTGGGGTAAGGGTAGGACTGAGGGCATCAGCCATGCCCCCCTAATGACTGCATCCGGCCCAGAGACCACCTGGTCATTGCTGGAGAGCCCCAGATTACCAAGCTGGGGTGGTGGGGGGCCAAGGGCCTGAGCCACACCCCCCTGACATCTGCATCTAGCCCAGCAATAACAGAGCCACTGCTGGAAGCCTCCTGGGCTCCTGTGCTGGAATGAGGGGGTGCCGCAGGCCTCGACCATGCCCGCCTTTATCCTCCTTTCTCTTCCCCTTTCCCCCTCCTCCAAACTGCTCTGCAACATCTTAGAATGTAAAAAAAAAAGTAATAATAAATAAATAATTTTTTTTTAAAAAGGGAGAGTGATAAGGACAACTAGAACAATCTCTGCCACATACTCTTTATCAACTTAAATAAATTTTCTTTTATTTCTAGCTTTAAAAAGAACTATACCAATAAAAGCAAAAATTTGCATTAGGTCGTTATTTACAAAGGACATTTTCATGCAATACTTTATTTGGGCCTTTTATGATACTAATTGTACAAAACAGGAAAGTAAGGTGAAGTAACTTTTCCAACTTGCATGCTGACCCCAGATTCAAACTTAGTTCTGACTCCAAAGCCTATGTTCACTCCATTGCCTATGACTAGAGAATAAATTAGCCACATAGTACACAATATGGGAATTCTTTAATAAGAATATCATAGTGGAGTTATAAAAAGTAATCTTGGTTGTGATATGGTACTATAGGTGTGCAAGATTTAACCACTGGGGAAGATGGGGTGAGGGGTATGCAGGACTTCTCTATTTCTCTCAAATGCATGCAAATCTGCAATTTCCTCAAAATAAAAGGTTTTCTTCCCTCAAAAAAAAAAAAAAAAAAAAGCCCTGGAAAAAACCAAAACAAAACAAAATAAAAATATGTTCTCTTCACCCATATTTCTATTAATCTCTCACAGGAAAATCTTGTTAAGTTTCTTGCATATCCTAGAAAAATTATTAAAACGAATGTGTGTGTGTGTGTGTGTCCTATTTAAAAAAAAAAACAAATGGAATCATGTCATATACACTATTATGTGTTTGGTTTTTTTTC